TGAGATTATGCATGAGAAAGATATTTGTATAATTTGTGCAGGTAACAGGTCGGATGTTGTTTTGGAACGAAAAAGAAAGTATTAAAGAGAATAAAGACAATTTTTTATGAATAGCACCTACGTCGACATCCTAGTATGCCCACGTCGAGCTAGCGCACTTGGGCCCAAAAGCCGGAGCACCCGCATTAGGTTAAAATGCCTACGTCCTTTTCGTGGCCCGCTAGCGCTCGATCATTACATCTTTGTTGCACTAGTTTCGTCATCGCAGCTCACCTGTGCCTGATTCGCTGAATCAATTTTATAAGGAATTTTCTTGTCTTTGTCGAGGTTCCCTTGTATGTATGCTCATAGAGATGACTCCAGGGCATCTTGGGCAGTTGGAGGCAGCAAGTGGAGAGATTTTATGGTGAGACATAATTCCCCCTTAGGGTTTTCTTCCTCTTTTTGGGTGGAAACCTACAGGGTTGTTTCTCCTTCTCTTTTCCTCTTGTTTCTTACTGTTTGTGAGAGGTTATTGTATGAGAGAGGGTTCATCTACTATTGGGTAGAGGACAAGTGATTATTGTAAGTTTTACAACTCTTTATTTCTTGCAACAATAATCTGCATGGATTTCTTATCTATGGTTATCTCTAATATTTGTCAGTAAATCATCTTTTATGTATCTATGATGTAGGGCTAGTGGTTTTTCCATGATTTTTTGAGATATTTTCTTAATAGCGTTTCTTTGAGCTTTCACGCCTTTATGCCGGCTATTAACCTTTAGGAATTGATTTACTCTTAATTTGGCCAATTAGAATGTTAAAATCTTTCATGATCTATGACTTATACCCGTCCCATAGTGGAACAAATAGGTTAACAACATAATTCCGATAGACTAGGCATATAGGCATATTCTAGTAGGGTTCTGCAACTTAGATAGATGATCAGAATAATTCTGAGAAATGCCAAAAGATTAAGCGAAACTTAACTTCATGGGTTTTTTATTCTTCTTTTGATCTAGGTATAGGCTTAAGAAGAAAACATATTCGTGGTTAAAAACTATCACGTAGGAACATTAAGAAAAATCATGAACCCGATGACACCCGAGTCACAGAGGCAAGACTCTCATCATTCTTGAAGAATACCAAGTTTCTCTTTGCTTTCCGTTTTCTACTTTCTGCGATCATGACTTATTTTCTGATAGGATGTTAGGATTTCAACCCTCTATTGTGATCATGCCAAAATAGGTTTACAAAGTTATTAAACTGTAGATTTTTCTGCCAGAATAATTGTTAGTCATTTCCTCGTGAGATCAACACACGGACTCCGATGCCGCATATTATTTGAAGTGCATATTTGAATGACTAACCGACTTATATCGAGGTAACTTTTTGGCTATCATCAATCATATTAAATTATGTAATTATAAGATATGTTTTATTTGCACCCTTCATTAGAAGAAGGTTTTCCCTTCACCTTGACAGATAACACATTTAGATGTCAGCATTGACTATGTAATTGCTTTGCCCCCTCCATGTATGAGATCTTTTCTTGGCTTGGTTGTGGCACTCCTGAATATCAGAGATACTCTATCGTATACTTCTATATGTTATGATAAGAACCAATAATGCAAAACCGCAACCAAAATCACAGTCAACCCTAATCACAACCACATCCCATATAACCCAACCAAATAACTCTAATAGCGGCCCATATAACCTCAACCATAACCATCAAAGACCAACAAACCACACCAACAACCAACAACCAATAACTAACAATGCAAAACCATGACTACACCCACAGAGAACGACCAACAAAGACAACTAAATCACACGCACAACGAAAACGGAAATGTAAAATGACAACCAACACCAAGCATTAAAAATTTCGAAGACGGGGGAGAAGCCATAAACCAATAATCAAACTCGCCAATAAATATAATATACAGAAATATAGGAATGTGGAAATCCGACAAGAGAGAAAAAAAACGAGAAGCACAAATTACAACCATAGAAAAAAGCCTGTGTGGCCGTAAACCAAAGAATATCATTCTAGTACGTACAAAGGGGCGGCAATGAAGATGAGGGAAAAGCCAAAACTAGCAACAGCTATAGCCTAATCCCGGATGATTGCGGCGAAGGTGAGGCAGAAGAAAATAACACGGGTAATATCGTGGATATGCATGATTTTTTGAAAAAGACAAGGGGCAGCAATGTCATTTCTTAACGAGGCCGCGACGCGTCTTGCGGCACCGAGCCTTACACCAGTGTGTAGAGTTTCACTGTTTTGGTAACGAGATTTCGCGAAAAGAGCCTAATAAGCATGCTCCCAAATGCACGCAATATGCCAGCTAAAATGTCCTCCTAAACGCACTCTTAATTGTAAGTTGTCCTACATCACATGCTGCCATTGCTCTAACCTTTCTTATTTATATTATTTTTATCTATTCATTTTATTAGTGCATCCTACACCTTTGTTGTACAAACATAAGAAAAATTATTAAGTGCAGAATCTGGATGCATTTGGACCATGTAATATTCTCTCAAAAAATAGACACTCATATCTATTTTCATAACAATACCACTAACAAATGTTTAATTAAGAAAGAGATAGAAAGAGGCACTAAAAGGGACTAGGTGGAGGGAGGGTTGGAATGAGCATATAGTGACTAAGATTCATGGCATAAACGTAAAGAGAAAGAACATATATTTGACATCATAAATATTCACTAGATAAAATTTGACAATAGAACTTGCATAGTGCTTAAAAAGAAATATATTAGTTAAAAGGCAACAAAGTGAATAAGGCGCCGGAAGACCTTCAATAAATCCTTCTTCTTCTATAGGGAGATGACCATTCCAAGCAAAACATTTTCACAAAAAGCTCAATACAAAACCTGACAATCACGAAAAATACTGCATTTGCAAATGCTTACAGCTAATGCTTGATTTATCTAGAGTTTCTAACTTGCACAAGAAACTTTTGAGGTGGGAAGTTTCATAGTAGATACACGTTTAAACTTCTAATTTGTTTTGGGAACATCAACCTTAATCTGATGGCTTTAACTTTCGCTTTTTTCAAGATTATATCGAAAACTAGAGGATAGCTCGAGCATAGATGAGAACAGTGACTGCAAATTGGAGAAAAGGAGAACCAAAGTACTAATGAATGAAAATCATCTTCACATAGGACACAATATTCTGAATGAATCCAATAACATAGTTACAAACTTTCCAAATCTTGAATTTGAAAGAGCAAGAACGAATGAAAATCATGGGTTTGTCCACAACATTGTGCACCCAACCATTATAAAAATCTAAAATTCATACGTCATTGGCACTTATGAAATGGAAATAGCATAGCAAAAAATGCAGCCGCAAAAAGAGAAACAAAAGAAACATCAGTTCAGCACCAAAGGAACAAGAAAACTCTACCAATCAATCCTGGCCCTTCTTCTCCTTCTCGCATTCCTCCAACTCGTTCAGCCACAAATCAGCAAACTCACAATCCTTATATTTCTCAAACCAAGGGCCACCCATTGTATAATGAATCGCCTTCGGGAAGGTACTGGGATCATTCTCCACCACTCGATTGTGCCCAACAAGAAAATTCCAAACAAAAGGCACGGATCCAATCTCCTCATCCTCAAGCCACCGGAACCGGTGAAGAAACGCCCCTGTTTCTGAACTCACAATCTCCGGCGTCAGAATCCGATTCTTCCGATGACCGCAATTGTAAAGAACCATAGAAGACCAGTTCTTCCGCGGATAGACCGTCTGGACAGCGCCGTCCATCTTAGTGGTCTCCTTAGGAGCATAATCATGGTGCACACACATCACGGCGAAGCGATCGTCGATTAGAGCGACGAGATCGGCCACATCGGCGG